CCAGCTAGACAGCAGCCCTGGGCTACCCCGGCCAGGTTCCGCCGAGGTCTCACTGGGGAGGGACAAGGTCCCCGCAGCCCCCAGAAGTGGCCCAGAAGACGGGGGCCGGCCACTCCCAGCCTATGACCTTCACCGTCTGCAGAAGGAAGGGGACCTCTGTGCTTCTGCATGCTTAAGGAGGTTGAGGGGCCGAGGCTGAAGTCGGGGGGTCCCTTGGCTGAGGGAGTCTGCAGGGCAGGAGCCACGGTGGGGGTCCGAGTCACATTCCCAGGGCCAAGAGCCCCGGCACCTCAGCCTTGGCCTTCCCAGGGCCGTGGAGGGCAGAGCCCAGGGACACCTCCCAGGAGGGCAGAACACCAGCCCTGCGGGCTCTGGGCAGAGAGAAGGGGCAGAGCAGCCCTGGGTGGGGGGACTCAGCGGGACCAGCTCACCCCCACCCCGTTTCTAGGGGATGCTGCGCCCACTCAGGCAGGCAGGAGCACAGGGAACCCCCGCGCCTCGGGCCGCCTCCTGTTCTCTGACTCCTCCCCACCCCCGCATCCTGGTGCTCCCTCTGCAACCCTTGGGGCCTGGTGCTCCCCCCTCAGCCCCCAGCCCTGCATCCTGGTGCTCCTTTCCCAATTCTGAGGGGTGCTCTCCCCCAGCCCTGCGTCCCGGTGCTCCCAGCCCACCGGCCTCCTGCCCCGAGAAGACTTTCTCTGGAGAGCAGAGGCTCCTGCCAGCCCTGTGAGGGATTTGCAGGAAAGGGTCTGCCTGGGAGGGGGATGCTGGTGGTCCCGCAGTGGTGGGCACTGCCTTCTTTGCTCCAGGAAGTGGCTGCAAGGTGCGGTGTGAACTGGGAAGCGTAGAGAGGAAGGGCTGCGTCCCGCCCTCCACCCCCTTCCAGGACCTCCCGGTGGAGCCAGAATGTGCGCAGGCCCGAGCTCTGGCCCCCGGGCCTTAGAGCTGTGCTCTCGGGTGCAGAGCGGGGCTCCAGGTGGGTCTTTCCCAGCCCGGGCGTTGCTGCCGCCCCGAAACGATGTGAGGAATGAGCCTGGCCCTGCGCCTGCCGGGAGGGCTGAGGCCAGGTGCAGGTGTTTGGACTGTGGGAGTCGGTGTGCAGGTGTTTCTCCCCACGGGAGGCTTCCTGAAGGGGCCAGCCTGCAGCAGGGGAAGGGCTCGCCTTCCCTGGCCAGTGTGTGCCCTGTCTCCTTGCTGGCCCCGCGCTGCTGTCTGCGGGGAGGGGTGCCAGGCCCATTGGGAGAAAAATCCTCCCCAGCTTGAGCCTAACGCCTGGGAATCTTCTTGCCCCAGAGACCCCGACTCCACTGAGACGCCAGAGACTTCAGCCTCTCAGTCAGGGGTGGCTGGAGCTGCTGGTCCATGGACTACACTTTGGGAAGCAGATGGCTAAAATGCAAAGCCCCCCCCCCCTTTTTTTTCTTTTTGGGTCACACCAGGTGATGCACAGGAGTTACGGGGGACCACATGGGATGGAATTGAACCCGGGTTGGCCGCTTGCAAGGCAAATGCCCTACCCGCTGTGCTATCGCTCCAGCCCCAAAGGCCCTCTTTTTTTTTTTTTTTGTGGTGGGGCATTCCCAAGATTCAGATTGCTTTATTTAAAAAAAATATATATTCAGATTTTTAATTAAAAAAAATTGTGGGTTACACTGCGCAGTGCGCAGGGCTTGCTCCTGGCTCTGTGCTCAGAGATGACTCTTCCTGGTGGGCTTAAGGGAGACCATACGGGATGCCAGGGATTGAGCCTGGGTCGGCCACACGCAAGTGCCCTGCAGGCTGGACTACCGCCTGGCCCCAGTCTGGGTCACCTTGAGCACATCAGCCCCGTCCTCCCGAGGGCCAGAGAAGGAGGCCTACGGCCCACCGGCGCTGCAGCTGTGTCTCTGAGCAGCCCGAGATCAGGAGCCTGCAGACTGTCTGTGCGGCTGGGGGAATCTTCCCGGCAGGACCCCTCCCTGCCGCTGTCGGGCCCTTCTCCCTCCCAGACAGTGTTAATTGATTCCAGCAGCCTCTAGCGCCTGCCTGCAGCTGCCGCCTCTCCGCCTGATGTAGGTCACCCCTTTCCTAACGGGGCTGGATGTTTCTGGGCACAAGAAGGGGTCCTGGGGCTAGACCTGGGCTGCCGGGCAGCGGAAGGCCAAGGCCTTGGGGGCAGCCAGGCTGAAGCGCCCCCTGGGTCTGATCTGGGCTGTTCCAAGGACAGCAGATGCTCCCTGGGAAACAGGCTTTATCCGCAGGGCACAGACACGAGCTGGAGGAACGTGTGTCCATCCCATTGTGCTCCAGACACCACGATCAACAGCGTCCCCACTCCCTTCCGACTCCCAGGGGTCTGCTTGGGGGAGCCTTGAGTCTCACAGCCAGGGGGCCGGGGCCTCGGCATCCACGCTCTAGGCCACCATTGCCCAGGCTTGCTGGTCCCCATCTTGGGCCCATTCCTGGGGGTGACAGTGGGCTGGGGGAGGGTGGGAGAGAGAAAGAAGGCTGCGTGATGGTGATTCGGCCGGGCTGGGGGCAGCTTCTATGCTGGCCCCTCCCAGCGGGAGCCCAGGGCTGCAGGGGCAGACACTCGCTTTTCTGGCCCCGATGGGTGGGGGCAGAGACAATGGCCCCTGTTCTCTCAGACCTGACCTGGGGGCTGGGGCTGACCCTCTCATTGTGTCTGGGGGGAGCTGCCCGCTGTCCCCCTCTGCCTCGGAGTGTTGGCATGTGAGGAGGCGTGCTGGCAGGCCGCCAGTCAGCGTGTGCGCACGTGTATGTGTGCGTGTGTGTGTTGGCACGTGCTGAGCCTCACGGCCCTGGTGGGGGGGGTGTGTTTGCCCCACATGCTGCGGGAGGGGAGGGGGGAAGTGGCCTGGGCACACGCCAGGGAGACTGGGTGGGCGCCTGCTCTGTGAGGGGACTCCTGCTGGGGAGGACTTCGTGTCTGGGAGCCAGGCCCCTGACCTTCCGGGTGCCCTTGGGCAAGGTGGCTGGCCACGCAGCTCCTTGCGTCCCCCGTGTCGCCTGGCATAAGAGGAGCTGGGTTCCTGCTGCACAGAGAGGTGGTTCGGCTCAGGATGTGGATGGTCTCTGTCGCCCGGGAAGGGAGCCTGTGTGTGCGCGCGCGCGGGCCCCGGGCTTGGGGGCAGAGCTCGCCCCTCTGGGGAGGCTGGGGGACGGGGAGCTGCCTGGCCCACCACTGACACTGCCGGACGAGGAGCCTCACAGCCGGGGGATTGACCTGAGGCCTGTGAGGCCGCAGCAGCCGCGTGGAGCCCCCAGCAGCCTGTCCCCTCAGTCAGTCAGACGGAGCCGTGGAAACCCACCCTCCTGCCTCCCAGCTGGCACTTCTGAGACGAGAAAACGGATGCTTCCGGGATGCCCTTTGGGTCAGACAGCCAGGGGGGTGGACGGACAAGATTCGAAGCCAGAGTCCTTGTCCTGCCTGGGGTCTGAGCCATGCACCTGCTGGGTGGCCCCTGAACCGCTCTGGGCAGTCCCCCCACTCCCAGCTCCAGGGCATTTGAACCGTCCATAAGGCAGCTGGGGGTGCTGGAAGCCATAGTCCAGCGGGTAGGCACTGGCCTGGCGTGCGACCAGCCCATATTTGATCCCCCGCATCCCATTTGGTTCCCAGAGCACTGCCAGGAGTGAAATCTGAGCTCCCCGCCAGCGGTAAGCCCTGAGCACGGCCAGGCCAGGCATGGCCTCCAAGCACAATCAAGCAAACAGTTGCGACCAGACGGCCACCCACAGGCCACCTCCGTGCCCCGAGCAGGGACCGGGGACTGTGCGGGGTGCAGGGGGGCGCTGGGGTGCTCCCCGACCCTTGGGGGCACTGCATGGCCCTGGGGAGCCGGAGACCCCCTCACGGTGCCCTCTGCTCTCTGACTCTCAGACCTGTGTGAGGGCTGGGGGAGGCTGTGGGCCAGGAATTCCTGGGAGAACCTGGCAGCTGGGGAAGCTCAAGCATTGGCGGCTGCCGGAGCCCGGCCTCAGGCCCTGTGCCCACCCTGGGCCCGGGTGGGAGTGAGGGGAATGTGCCCTTTCGGGCGTGGGTGGCCGGCCCCCTCCTGGCCGCAAAGCCAGCAGGGAGCCCTGGGCCAGCTCTGTCCCCTGCCCCCGGGGCCTGTGCTCTGGCCCTGAGCTGGTGTCAGGGCAGCCCCATGCCAGGGGTTGCTGCCTAGTAGTCCTCCTCTGCCCGGGCCCTCAGACTGCGTCTCCCCTCGCCTCCCCTCCCCCGTCCCCGCCTTTTGCTGGAGCAGCTGCCGGCAGGCTGGAACCCCTGGGCCTCTGAATCTCATTACAGCTCAGCCGTGCCAGACGGCAGACAGCACCTTGCCGCTCACCTCTCAGGAGGCCCCAGGGGCCTGGGACCCAGCCCCAGCGCAGCGGCCTGCCTCAGCCCGAACCGGACCCTGCCCACCTGCGGGCCATGGTGAGAGCATCACGGGGTGCGGGGGGGGCAGAGGCACCCCTCGGGGTCCTCACCTGTAAGTAGGACAAAGTCCAGCCACAGAGGAGGCCTTGGGGCTCCCAGGCTGGATAACTGAGTGCCCCAGGAGGGGGCGAGGAGAGGAAGAGAGAGGCCGAGGGCTGGAGCACTCAAGCATCGAAGCTGGTGCTCTCCTGGATCCCACTGCCCCGAGCTTACCCCTGGGGAAGCCCAAGGCCACCCGCAGCTACCCGCAAGCACCATAGCTCTGCGCTCAGCCCTGGAGTCCACAGCACCCGCAAGTCCCCTCTTTCCTGGCTTCCGGGTCCGGGTCCACCTCCCCAGCCCTTCTCCCCAGGGAGTCCCCGCTGAGAACAGGAGAAGGAATGTCAGGGTGTAAAGAGACACCAGGCCCTCTCCTTTACCGCACACCGAAACAGCAGGCTCAGCTCCTCTCTCTCTCTCTCTCTCTCTCTCTCTCTCTCTCTCTCTCCCTGGTCTCCCCAGGACTGAGGTCCCCCAGAGGCTGTCTGCCTGCGGCGCGGGCCCTGGGCCCTGGAGCCTCCCGTCCAGTCCTTCAGTATGCTGGCCCCAGGCAGCGGCGCCGAACAGAGCAGACGCGGCCTGGCGTGGAGGCAGTTCTCCTGTGAGTGCCGTGGGCTGGGCTGGGCGTGGGGTCGGGGCCAGGGGATTGGCGGTGCTCAGGATGGCCTAGGGGCTGTCCCCGCAGCCTACGTCTGGGTTGGGCCTCCACGGCTCTGCGCTCAGCCCCGGAGTCCACAGCCAGGGGAGCCCTTCGGGCCCTGCGGCACAGGGACCGTCACCCCAGTGGGGAGCGGGGCCCCCTTGTCCTGCTTCTCCCACCCAGTGATCCTGGGACCCCAGGCTTCTTCACGCAGAAAGGTGGGAAGGTGGAGCTAGGGTGGGTGTAGTCCCCCTTCTGGGCATGGGGACCAGAGGCCCCGCATTCCCCAGGACCCGCTGGAAGTCATGAGGTGAGAGCGGCTCTGGCCTTTCTCTTGGTGGTGCAGGGAGGTGTGAGGGTGGGCTAGCCCTGGCAGCCTGCGTGGGGCCATAGGGGGCGTCCTCGGGGACATGACCCTGCAGGCTTCTCGCCTTGCACAGCCTGCCCGGAGGCAGCCTGAATAATTCACCAGTCACAGAGCCGCTGTCAACCCCATTCTAAGATCACTCGCCACCTCCCAATCCTGCGTTATATTTGCTCGGCAAGAGAGCGTTGATGCTACTGTGACCGGCGGCGGCCGAGCGGGGTGGGGGAAAGCCAGGAGCCGCTTGTTCCAATAGTCCTCCGGGTCCTGGTGCTTATCCAAAGTGCAGGGGATGGTGGTGCCTGCTGGCGTGGGTCTTCTTTGAGAGGGAAGTTGGCTGCCTTGAAGGTCCCCCCCCCCAATAGGGAAAATGAAGTCTAAGGAATGTTGATTTTGGGGCCAGAGCGTAGTATAGCAGGTAGGGAGTTTGCCTTGCACGTGGCCAATCCGGCTTTGATCCCTGTCACCCCCATGGTCCCCAGAGCCCCTCTAGGAGTGATCCCTGGGCACTGAGTCAGGAGTGAGCCCTGAGCATCCGCGGGTGTGCCCCCAAACATAAGTAAAGCAAAAGAATGTCTCTTCAAATGGTGTGGGGAGGGGGCATGGTGGGGGGCAAGTGGTCAGACTGAGAGAGCGGCAGAGGTGGTGGAGCGTGACCTGCATGGCTGCCCACCGTCCTCCTGCCCTGGGAGAGGAGTGTCTGACTCTGGGTCCTCCAGGACGGGGAAGGGTGACGTCCTCCCCTGTGCCTCTGGGTGCCCTTGGAGACATCAGACCCTCAGACCACCAGAGCCTGTCCTAGGTGGACTCCAGGACCCACCGTCCACCGGTGGCTTCTGCCCTGCTGAGTGGTGCCCGCCGAGCCCTGAGCGAGGGCGGGGGGGGGGGCTCTGGGGGGCTCTGGGCGGGCGTCTACCTGGGGGCGTGCCTCTGGGCTTGCTCGAGCCTCTGAGCACTCCAAGCGCTTCTCCCACCCTGCAGGCCTCTCTGAGTCTCAGGGCGGCTGTGCCGGGGCTCGAGGTCCCTCGCACACAGGCTTGCTCAGGTTGAGGTCGCCCCAGGAGGGTCACTCTGACAGCCCCAGGGATCCGCCATGGGCGCTGGAGGGCCAGGCCGGGGCTGGGACTGTCTGGCAGAAGCGCTGTCCCACAGCCCAGCCTGGGCGTGGGCGTCTCTAGCATCTAGAGGATCTAGAGGATCAGATGAGCCTCCTACGTCTGGGCCTTTTGTCCTAGTCCTAGGCCTGTGAGGTGGGGTCCTCAGTGGGCCTGGCCCCATCTGGCAGCATCTAGGGGCTGGCGGGAGGCTTGCCCGCGGGGCCCGGCTTCCCGGAGCAGCGGCAGAGGAAAGGAAGCGGGCACCAGGGGCAGTTTCTCACGGAAAGAGACTCTCCACGCAGCGACCAGGGAGAGGAATACGGGCACCGGGTTCCCTGATGCCCTCATGACTGTTAGGCGGCTTCTGGGTGTTGGTGGTGGCTCCAGGAGCTGGGGTGTGGGGGGCTGACTCAGTCGCTCCCCTTCGGATCCCCTTCTAGCTCTGTGAGGCGAGGAGGCGAGCTGACACGGTGGTCTCCATGGGTAGAGGCGTGTTTCTGCTTTCTTCTCATGACTGTGGGGGAGGCTAGTGCTCCTAAGTAGTGCTCGGGGGGGGTTGAAGTTCCCGCCTGATGGTTCTCAACCAACTAGTCTGGTGGTTCAAGTGCGGACTCCATGAGACAGTGCTCCCCGGCTCTGCAGGGCAGGGGTGACTGGGGCCCTCTGGGCAGTGGTGCCAGAGACCACGTCGAGATCAGCAGCATGCGAGGAGCATGCCTTAGCCCTGTTCTGTCTCTGGTCCGTTTCTTCATCTTTGGGGGCTTTGTTTGGGAGCCACAGCTGGGGATGCTCGGGCTAGTTCCAGCTCTGCACTCAGGGATCACTCGTGGCCTTGCTTGGGGCACCTCAGGGGATGCTGGGAATGGAATCCTGGTTGGCTGCCGACAAGGCGAGCACCCTTCCTGCTATACTATCGCTCTGCTTCATTTTATATATACAATGTGTATTTTTTTGGTTTATGGGTCACACCCAGCGATGCACAGGGGTTGCTCCTGGCTCTGCACTCAGGAATCACTCCTGGTGGTGCTCGGGGGACCCTATGGGATGCTGGGAATCGAACCCCGGTTTGCCACGTGCAAGGCCAATGCCCTCCCTGCTGTGCCATGGCTCTAGCCCCAGTTCATTGTATTTTATCTTTCCCCATGGATGTTTGGGCCGAGCCATGGCCTGTGTTGGAGGAGGAGAGCCAAAGGGACTTTACGAGATAGCACAGCGGTAGGGCATTTGCCTTGTGCGTGGCCGGCCTACCTAGCCGGGTTCTGTTCCTCCGCCCCTCTCGGAGAGCCCGGCAAGCTACCCAGAGTATCTCGCCCGCGCGGCAAAGCCTGGCAAGCTCCTCGTGACGTATTCGATATGCCAAACACAGTAACAAGAAGTCTCACAAAAGAGACGTTACTGGGCCCGCTCGAGCACCTCAATGAACAAAGGGAGGACAGTGCAGTGCTGCCGTGCTAGGAAGGAGGGCCCCTCACCCTGGCCTGTGGCTTTCTCTCCACCTGCCCCGCCTGCCCCGCTCCTCCCCCCAGGGCTCACCTGCTGGGTCGCCGTGTGTGCCGCGGAGGCGCTGCCCATGTGCCCCTTCTCCTGCAAGTGTGACAGCAGCCGCCTGGAGGTGGACTGCAGCGGCCTGGGCCTCACCGACGTGCCCCCGGACCTGCCCGCCGCCACCCGGACCCTCCTGCTCTTGAACAACAGACTGACCACCCTGCCGAGCTGGGCCTTCGCCAACCTGTCCAGCCTGCAGCGGCTGGACCTCTCCAACAACTTCCTGGACCAGCTGCCGCGCTCCGTCTTCCGGGACCTGAGCAACCTGACGGAGCTGCAGTTGCGGAACAATAGCATCAGGACCCTGGACAGGGACCTCCTGCAGCACGCGCCCCTGCTCCGCCACCTGGACCTGTCCCTCAACGGCCTGGCCCAGCTGCCCTCGGGCCTCTTCGACGGGCTTCCGGCCCTGCGCTCCCTGTCGCTGCGCTCCAACCGCCTGCAGAAGCTGGACAGACTGACCTTCGAGCCCCTGGGCAGCCTGCAGCTGCTCCAGGTTGGGGACAACCCCTGGGAATGCGACTGCAGCCTGCGGGAGTTCAAGCACTGGATGGAGTGGTTCTCCTACAGAGGTGAGCCGCGCCCTCCCTGGAGGCCGGGTGACTCGGGCTGGGCCGGGGGAGGATGCGGTGCCCTTCCCTCGCTGCCCGCCTCTGGCCGGCAGAGGCCCAGGCTCCTCTCTGAATGGCCAGCGCGGCAGCGGCGGGAGTGGGGCAGGGGACGCCTTTCCCTCGTCCCCCACGAGCGCCCCCCTTTTTGGCTTTTTGAGTCACACCCAGCAATGTTCAGTGGCTCCTCCTGGTTCTGCACTCAGGAATCACCCCTGGCGGTACTCGGGGGCCCTATGGGATGCTGGAATCGAACCCGGGTTGCCTGGGCAAGGCAAACGGCCTCCCGCTGTGCTACCACTCTGGCCCCGACCCCTTTTCTTGGCAGCCCCCTCCTCACTCCCTACCTCTTCTCTCTGTCTCCTGACTCACGGCGCTTCCCATCTCACTCCTCGTAGGTTTCACGCGGGCACACAGCACCACCTTTTCGTGCAGCCCACAGAGAGACGATCTGGGTTTCCCTTTTGTGGTAGAGTAGGAAGAAAACCCACCCTTCCGAACACAGTGGCACCTCCCGGATACCCCACGGACAGGAGGCGGAATGGAATTCAACTCCACAGATAAAACCCACTATTAATGTGGATGACGATCCTAAGTCCCCCGCCCCCAAACTTTGTTACCAAAACTTCTAGTAAGGGGCAGCTCAGCAGAAGAGCGTATGCCTCACATGCGGCCCGGTTCCCAGGGCCCCGTCCCCCTGGCCCCCAAATCTTTTGTTATTGTTGTTGTTTTGCTTTTTGGGTCCCACCTGGCGATGCTCAGGAGTTACTCCTGGCTCTGCACTCAGGAATTACTCCTGGTGGTGCTCAGGGGACCATGTGGGATGCTGGGAATCGAACTCGGGTCGGCCGCGTGCAAGGCAAACGCCCTACCTCTGTGCTGTTGCTCCAGTCCCCCTCCCCCAAATCTCAAGAGGAAGCCAAATGCCTTTGACTTTGCTCCCCCACCGTTATTTTTGACTTGGGAGAATGTTCCCGTAGCCTATACAGTGGGAAGGAGGGCAAGGAAGTATAAAGGGCCAGAGGAGGGTTTGATTCGTGCCTCTGACTCGGATGAGCTACCTGGTCTCGAGAACATTGACTGTATCCTTACTGTAACAGAGTAACAATGCCCACCACATATAACTGTTCCGAGGATTTAACAAGTAAAACATGCCAGTGTCTTGAAGCATTCTCAGCAGGAAGTACTCAATGAAAGGTATTTACTTGTTCGTTTTCTGGTAATGGATGTCGCATTCCAGAGGCTTTGTAAGCCACAGTTTGGTGCCTACTATGAAGGGAATACTCAGTGATGTTTGCTGAATGAATGAATCATTCAAAGTTTTAGGGAAGTAAGCTCTGCGTTTTGTTAATCTTACTCCTTTCATTTCATATCCATCTACAATTTCATTTATTTGCACAGCACTCTCATGTTAATTAAGAAACTTTTTACGGACTATAAATTGCCATATAATGTGAGTCATTGTGATCATTTCTTCCACTATTTTTTTTTGTTGTTGTTGTTGTGGAGAAATAATAATTGTAGGGCTGGAGTGATGGCACAGCGGGCAGGGCGTTTGCCTTGCATGTGGACAACCTGGCCAACCCGAGTTCGATTCCTCCGCCCCTCTTGGAGAGCCTGGCAAGCTACCAAGAGTATCTCGCCTACACGGCAAAGCCTGGCAAGCTCCCCGTGACGTATTCGATATGCCAAACACAGTAACAAGTCTCAACATGGAGATTTTACTGGGCCCGCTCGAGCAAATCGATGAACAATGGGAGGACAGCGTTTGTTTGTTTGTTTAGTTTCATATATTTTCAGTTCCAACTTATTTTTCATATACATGATCTCTTTTCAATTTTTCTTTTTTTTCTTTTTTTTGGGGGGTCACACCCAGCGATGCACAGGGGTTATTTCTGGCTCTGCCACCAGGAATCACTCCTGGTGGTGCTCAGGGACCGTATAGGATGCTGGGAATCGAACATGGGTCGCCTGCGTGCAAGGCAAATGCCCTCCTCGCTGTGCTATTGCTCTAGCCCCCTCTTTTCAATTTTTAAATGTGTGTGAGTCACACCCAGCAGTGATTGGGAGTCATTCCTGGGGGTACTGGGGACCGTCTGGTGTTGGCGGTGGAATAGGAGGTTTTCACATGCAAAGCCTGTGATCCAGTTCTTTGAGCAATCACCTGGTAAAACTTGAGATGGCCATTCTTATAGTATCAATAAGAAAACTAAGGTTCATAGGCCATTGCATATGTCAAGACACTTGTACAAGCTGACGCAGTGTCATATCTCTGGAAGCGACAGGCTTTGGTCCCAACTCAACACCCTGTCTTGGCCAAGGCGGCCCGGATCTGTGTTCTGGGTGGAAGACTTGCTGTGGGTCACCCAGGCACCAGAGACTGAGAGCCTGCAGCTCCGGACCAGCGTGTTCCTCCCAGGGGCCGTCTTTGTCCTTTCATACAGGTCCTGGGAGCTGAGTGTCAGCACGAAAGGGCACGGCGGTATCTAGCTTCAGAATAAAGATGGAACATATTCCTGTGTGGATTCCAGTAGCGATCGCTTTCAGCCTTGTACTCTTTTTATTTTATTTTTGGTTTGATGGCCACACCTGGCTGTGCTCAGGGCTTACTCTAGGCTCTGCCGGCAGTTGGGGCTTGGGGACCCTGTGGGGGGCCAGAGATTAAATCTGGATCAGCTGCGTGCAAGGTAAGTGCTCTGCCTACTGGTCTGTCACGCCAGCCCATTGTATTTTTTTTTTTTTTGGCTTATTTGACCCACACCCAGTGATACTCAGGGGTGATTCCTGTCTCTGCACTCAGAAATCACTCCTGGCAATGCTCGGGGAACCGTATGGGATGCCGGGGATCAAACCCGGGTCGGCTGTGTGCAAGGCAAACGCCCTCCCTGCTGGACTATTTCTCTGCCCTTGCCACTCCTTGTATTCATTTTTTAAAAAACTGTCCTCTGGGATGTTCTTCTCAGCACTCCCGGAAAAGACTCGTGTGTGCCATATAAGATCAGCAGTAGCTGGGCTGGGTGCTGGAAGCCGCTGCCAAGGGGGTTTGTCAGAGTCGAGCACTTCCAGCAGGGCCTGGTCGCCTGCATGGGGTTCCCTAGAAGCCCAACTTGGCCATGTTGTGCTTAGCTGAATCTTTCATCCCTGTGCTCTGTGCTCTGTGGCTATAGTCCTCTGTGGTCAAGCCGGGCTTCTTCACAGTTCCGGGGAGCCTGTGGGCCCCGCATTACGCCCGCCTTTCATTAGCACTACCTACTGCCAGGCCCCGCCCCCAAACCTTCCGAATTTTCTATCCAGCTGTCTCCACACACAGAGATGCAGTGACTAGGCACTCGCGGACGGGGGCATGAATTTGACCTTGGCAGAGAGAAGGGGAACACATTTTTTTTTCTTTCTTCTTCTTATTTTTTTTGGAGGGGCTCACTCTTGGCCAAGCTCAGGAGTCACTCCTAGCTGTGCATTCGGGAATCACTCTGGGTCCGTATGAGATGTTGGGGCTAGAACCTGGGCCAGCCACGGGCAAGGCAAGTACCGATCCCGCTGTACTCTGGCTTCAGCTCAACATTCTTGATCCACTTTTTCTTCCCTTTGCTACAGGGTGGCACTCTCAGATGGACCCTGGATGTTGCGGTGGTGGCTGTGTCCTTATGGCCTTTTGAGTGAGGGGGGAATGCTGGAGAGACGAGGCAGTGCCCTGAGAACAGTGGCTGGGGACAGCCAGGCAGGGCGGGCAGGTTCAAGGGGCGGAGCCCGGAGCTGGACTTTGGACTGGTCTCTGACCACAGCTCTTCCCCCGAGGGTCTCTTCCCCGAGCTGCTCCCCCGGCTGTCACCCGGACTCTGGAGGTGCCAGACTGCCATGTCCGTGCGTGGCTCTCCGTGTGCCAACAGTGGCCACCATGCCTGTGCCTTCCTTGTCCTCCTCCTCCTCCTGGCGGGACCCAGGAGCAAGCACTCCGGCTGTTCGGAACTAGACTCTCAGTGCCACTTGCTTCAGGGACCTGCGGGTGGGGAGCGGCACTCCAGGTTCTAGGTGGCTGATCAGTTCCTCCTTTTCCCTTTTTCTCCTCCGGATGCAGGGGGGCACCTGGACCAGCTCGCCTGCACCTTGCCCAAGGAGCTGAGAGGGAGGGACATGCGCGTGGTCCCCATGGAGATGTTCAACTACTGCACCCAGTTGGAGGACGAGAACAGCTCCGCCGGGCTGAACGTTCCTGGGCCGCCCTGCACCAAAGCCAGCCCGGAGCCCGCTAAGCCCAAGCCGGGGGCTGAGCCTGAGCCAGAACCCAGCACAGCCTGTCCTCAGAAGCAGAGGTACCGGCCCGTGAGCGTGCGGAGGGCGATCGGCACGGTCATCATTGCGGGCGTGGTGTGTGGCATCGTCTGCATCATGATGGTGGTGGCTGCGGCCTACGGCTGCATCTATGCGTCCCTCATGGCCAAGTACCACCGGGAGCTGAAGAAGCGCCAGCCTCTGATGGGGGACCCAGAGGGCGGGCACGAGGACCAGAAGCAGGTCTCGTCTGTGGCATGAGTGCCCCTCCCCACCTGGCCCCGGGAGGCGGGAGAGCCCTGAGCAGGGCCCCGGCCAGGCCCCACACTCCAGCACACTCCCGGGCCCAGGCCCTCTCGCCCTCCACCACAGGAAGTCTCCCTGGGAGCCGCCCAGGCCGCTCCTCTCTGGGCCCCCAAATATTTGCGCCACTCAAGGACTCCCCTGAGCCTCTGAGCAGAGGGAAGAAAGAAGCTTTGGGCCCGAGCTGCCCCTGCTGGGTGTCCCCCGTCCTGCGCGTCAGTCACCACCGTTGGAAGACATTCCCTACCTCTTTCTCATCCTCCCACCCCATCCGCGTCTGGAGGGCAGGACGGAAGTGATCGGGGGTCAGGGGTCGCTTCCTGTGACGCTCCTGAGCTGGGGGGGACCAGGACCCACCCTCAGTGTGATCGCTGGCTCCAGCTTTCAACTGCTGGTGCCGAAGAGCAGACCCTGCTTCCCGGGCACGAAGGGGTGCGGGGGGCTCAGCTTTCCCTGGGCGGCCGCCCCCCCGCCCCCCCGCCGGCAGCCCCTCCCTGCTCTGCACCGACCATGTGGCTCCCAAGCTCGGTCTCCAGCTCCCTCTCTCCCAGTGTCCCCAGTCACAGCTCCCGAAAATAACCCCATGTGCACGTGTGTGTGCACGCACGCACCCATGCACACACTCATGCACGTGCAGGAGGTAGCGGGCACAGCAGTGTGGGAAGCAGAGGTGGGCCCCCAGACCCCACAGCCCGGCACACTGGGGTCCCCTGAAGTCACCAGCTGGGAGGAACTCGAAGTAGCAGCCCAGGAATCCTTGGCAATCCCCTAAAGTGGGCCACAGGGGGGGTGGGAGGGTGGGTGCTGTGGGAGGAGATGCCTGTCACCATGGCAACCTGCTCACACCTATTCTGCAGTGGTTTCCAGGGACACAGGCCCGGAGGCCTGGAAGTCTATGTATGGGGAGGGCAGCCTCCCCGCCCCCCCCTTCAATGTGGGGCCCCCCAGCACAGCCTCACTGCCGGTCCCCAGCACCCTGTCCCACAGCCCAGAGGCCTGCTCCTGTCTGGGCCAGTGGCCTCCCAGGAGAGCCGGTGGCAGGTGGCCCTGGAGAAAGTTCCCTGCCCAAGCTCCAGCGCCAATGACCTCCAGGCAGGGAAAGGACCACCGCAGTCTGCTCCCTTCACGGGGGCTGTGTCCGGCTTCCCAGCCCGGGGCCCTGTCTCCTGTCCCCCTCTAACCCACATCAGAGGCACAGCACCCGCGGGTGCATGGCGCAGGCTCTCGTGTTCTCTCCTTGGGGCCTCCGCCTGGGATGTGAGCGTCCCCCCAGCTCCCGGGGCCAGGCAGCCTTGGTGGGTTCTGGCTATCGGACAGGGGTCTGGGTGGAGCTGCCAGGCCGGGAGGAGAGACAGGCAGGTCCTGCCACCCTGTGCCTCTTCCCCCACGTCCCAGAAGCAGGCGTGATGGGAGAGGGGGTGTTGGTGGGACCGGGGGGGGGGGCGCTGCCCCTCCCCAACTGCTTCTCAGGCGGCTCCCTCCCCACTCGGACACCTTCTTGGATCCCGCGTGCTGATACCGGATCAGACGGTTTCCTGGAGGGAATGGCCTGGCGGGGAGGGGGTGCAGCCCAAGGCTTTGTCTTCAGCCAGAGACAGGAGATTTTTAGAGGTAAAATTATATTTCTGGTTTGCTGTTTCCGAAGACCAATAAAGACTGTATTTTCCTATGCACTTCCTGGATTCCGTGGGCTGGGGAGGGAGGTGGGTGTGGCCCCCAGCCCCACCCCGGGCAGCCACTCGGAGGGGAGCCCTCGCCAAGGAAGCCCCAGGGGAGCCTGGTGAGGGGCACAGGGCGCAGTTACATGGGGGCCCCGTGGTGGCATGTGGGGTGCTATGGGCTTTGGCCTGAAGAATCAGCCTGTGGGCTCAGAGTGTGGGGCCATGGGGGGTGGGGGGTGGGGAGCTCAGAACCCTCCCTGCTCTGTGCCCTGTGGGGCCACAGCCCCCTGGGATGGACAGTCCCTTGGCCCAGAGTCACCTTTATTTATTTTTTTTCCTTTTGGGTCACACCCAGCAATGCTCAGGGGTTCCTCCTGGCTCTGCACTCAGGAATTACTCCTGGCCATGCTTGGGGGACCATATGGGATGCTGGGAATTGAACCCAGGTTGGCCGCGTGCAAGGCAAAGGCCCTGCCCGCTGTGCTATGGCTCCAGCCCCCCAGAGTCACCTTTGCTCTATAGGGAGAGGCAAGTTCTCTGCCATTAGGTTTTAATTCTCACAATGGGCTGGGACGAATAGAGACATTACTGGCACCCGCTTGAGTAAATCTACAAACAACGGGATGACAGGGATACAGTGATACAGTTCAATGGAATCACAGTGACTTTCAATGTTACAATGTTATTCATGATAAAGTTTCAGGCCTACAATATTCCGACACCAAATCCCATCCACAGTGTCTACTTCGATCCACCAATGTCCCGATTCCCTTCTTTTTGCTTTTTGGGTCACACCCAGCGATGCACAGGGGTCACTCCTGGCTCATGCACTTAGGAATTACTCCTGGCAGTGCTTGGGGGGACCCATGGGATGCTGGGATCGAATCCGGGTCAGCTGCGTGCAAGGCGACCACCCTCCCCCCGTGCTATCACCCCAGCCCCCCTTCCCTTCTGCCTTAGCATCCTGCCTCTGTGACAGACACTTTCCTCCTCTGCCGTCATCTTCGTGTTCCTTTCCCTGACCTGTCCCCTGCGAGCTTCCTGCAGGAAACTCAGTTTTCCGACTCTTTATTTTTCTTGCCCCTGGGCGCTTGTGCCTGTGAACTGCTCCGCTGATGTCTCTCAGCAGCCTCTGAGCTGGCGAAGCTGTCTGCCATGGACTGGGAACCGTGTCCTGTCCTGGAAGCTGAGGACGGGGACGGACAAACGTGTTCTGGGCGCCGGGCGTCTTCAGGCCCAGGCCCCATGGGCGCTGTAGGCTGGAGTGTCCCAGGAGAAAAGTGAGCACCAGGCCCAGGGGCTGGTCTGTCGGGAAGAGCCCAGTGATCCATTTCCGGGCTGCTGAGTTTCCAGCTGACAGTGCTCTTGGGGTGGACGCAGGGGGAAGGGGTGCAAACCCCATGGAGAAAGGGCCCTGGGCCGCCCTTCCTCTGGGTCAGCTGGGACCCTGCCTTCCTGGGGTTGCGGTGTACGCGCCTTCTGTGGCTGAGGACCGGGTGACAAGTCTCCCCCGAACCCCTCTGCGAAAGTGGGCCCCCCTAACTGGCTCGGGTCCGGAGGAGTTGGGACACACTGTTCCATGCATTGCCCATCCGCCTGGTTTCCCGAGCACGAAGATTCTCCAGCGAAGATCCCCCCTGGGCTCTGGTCTTTGTGGCTCCCAGGGCAGGTACCACGTGACCCCCTTGCTGGACAAGGCCCTTGTCACTCAGCTTGGCCCCGGGGGCCTATACTATAGGACAAAATAATTTGAAATGGCCCCTGATGGAAAAGTTAGACTCTGTGTGTGTGTGTGTGTGTGTGTATGTGGGGTCCACACCTGGCGGATGTTTAGGGCTTACTTCTGGTCCTGGTTGGGCTTGCTGGCGTCAGGGAGAGAGCTGTGCAAGGCATAGTGCCTCATCGCTGTACTCTCTCACCTGCCCTCAAAAATTCTCCCTTTGGGGGCTGGAGCGATAGCACAGCGGGGAGGGCATTTGCCTTGCATACGGCCGACCTGGGTTCGATTCCCAGCATCCCATTTGGTCCCCCGAGCCCCGCCAGGAGTCATTCCTGAGTGCAGAGCCAGGAGTAACCCCTGTGCATTGCCGGGTGTGACCCAACAAGCTAAAAAAAAAAATTCTCCCTCTGTTTGTTTGTTTGCTTCTGGGCCATCCCCAGCTATGTTCAGGGCTACTCCTGTCCCTGTGCTCAGGGATCACTTTGGGTGCTCGGGGGCCCTTCTGTGGTGCTGTGGATCCAACCGGGGCTGACCGTGTGGCAAGCCTTTACACCCTGATTCTCTCAGGCCCCCAAGTTAGCTTTTCTAGACAATTTCCGCAGTGCATCGGTAGATGACTTCCTCAGAGATGCCCCTGGCCCCCTCCTTCAAATATCTCTTGGTCCAGATCGTGGTGTCAGACACACACCTGCCGGCGCAGCTGGGCCGAGTCCTTCCTCCCCTGGCATGAACACAAGCAGCCCACATGCCTCCTGCCCACCAGACACCACATGCCCACGGCACCTCCAGTTCCCAAGGGATGAAACCGCGGGCACAGCCAACACGCCACCTCCCTCCCCCTCGTGGAGCCGTAGGCCCCAACTGACCCCGGAATCTGGGAGGAAAAAAAAATGAGAAAAGGAGGCCCCGCCCCCATCCCACACGGAAGTTCAAGGTCTGTGGCCGCATCCTCCCCCTATTCCCCGCACCCTGCGCCCCAGAGCAGGGAACAATTGTCTGCGGCAAGTTACACCAGAGGCACCAGGACAGTTTCTATGGCAACCCCTCCCGGCTCCAATTCAGCTCTGAGTTAAAAATGATATCAAATAATTGGGGAGTGCAGGGGAGCACCGCCGGAGCCTGACCCCGCGGCCCTGCTCTTTTCTCCATGTTCAGATGTGCCCGCGAGGGAGGGGGGGCCAGGCGAGGGGGCGCTCTGCGCGCGGGGAGGCACACTCAGGCCAACTCGGCCCTAGAAATGGGTCGGGCAGAGAAGAGAGGCAGCAGGGATGGTACAGGCCCTGCAGGAGTGCAGAGGGCCGCCCTGGGCCCGTGATCCCGCGGCCCCCAGCCAGACCCTGGGCGGTTGCCGCCGCGGCCCAGCAGCCCAGGCCCCCTCCCAGAGCTCAGCCCCAAGCCTGAGCTTGGTGACCTTGTGGGGGGCGCCCTGCCCCCCTCCCTGCCCTGCCTGCCTTGCCCACTTGCAGTTGCTCATTCCCTGGTCGCGGCGGCTGGGAAACCAGATTGGGGAGACCGGGTCCCAGGGAACTTCCTGCAGAGCGTGAATGCCCAGGGTCTTGCGGGAGTTTCTATAACAGGACTGAGTGTAAGGCATGGAGCTGAGACGGGACGGGACGGGGCGGGGGGGGGGGGGGGGGGTCACCAGGAAGGTCTCTCTGGCCCAGGGAACCATGGAGACCGAGCCTCTTTTTTTTTTTTTTTTAACAGTTGTAGACTTACAAATTTTCGTGCTTGGGTTTCAGTTATACAATGACTGAGCACCCATCCCTCCACCAGTGCCCATTCCCCACCTCCAATGCTCCCAGTATCCCTCCCACTCCCATCCCCCCCAGTCCCCCCACCCCCACCCCCGGGGCAGGGCATTCCCTTTTGTTCTCTCTCTTCTTTTGGGTGCTGTGCTTTGCAAGAGAGGCACTGAGTGGCAATCATGTTTGGTCTATAGTCTGCTTTCAGCATGCTTCTCCCATCCTGGGAGGATCCTCCCAGCACCCTTTATTTGGTGCTCCCTTCTCTATCTGAGCTGCCTTTTCCAAGAGACCGGGCCTCTTAGGGGTCACTAGGGCTCTCATCACACCCCTGGGCCTTAGGGAGGGGAACTTTGTCCGATACCTGGTTCCCTTAGGATTAGCTGGCATCTTAGGCCAAGGACTTTTCTGTGTCTCAGTCTCCTCATCTGTAGAACGGATCCCAAAGTTCTCAGCTCAGGGGGATCACCCCGTCAGCTCGGGGCGGGTGGAGTGTGCCTGGCCACGGCCATGCCTACAGTGTGTTCAGTCCCGGACCGGACACACATGCTGTGCCCAGGAGTCTCCTCAGAGAGAGACGGAGCCGAAGATCTGGACAGAGAGACGTGACACGCGGTGGGCTGCAAAGGAGGCCCATTTGTGCTCTGTCCTGTGTGATCCCAAACAGCTCTCTTGACTTCTCTGGGCTCCTTAGACTCCCTTCCTGAATTCCTTTTGCTCCATCGTGGCCCTAGAAACTCGGAAGTGTCCTCTCAGATGCAGCCCCACCTGGGAGAGCGGGAGCTGGAGGACCCCTCCTGGGCCTTTGTGGCCCAAGGCTGCCCACCCTCGCCCTGGCCCGCGGCCCCCAGGGCAACCCTACCTGCAGCAAGCGCCGTCTTCTCGTCCACGGTCACGGTCACCGCGGTGCTTGCTGTCACTGCCACCGGTTCTCCTGGTCCTTCTGGAGAGACAGAGTCAAAGTCACTTTCCCAGCACCCGAGAGCCATGGCTGGGGCTGGCGAGGGTGTTTGCTCTGCATGCGGCTGGCCGGGATGTGATCCCGGAGCCTTCCAGGAGTGATCCCTGAGTCCAGAGCCAGGAGGAAGTCCTGGTGTGGCCAAAAAATAGAAAAAAAAAACAAACCCCAAACACACCGGGGTCAGTCCCAGGCTGGGCTGTTTCTTGAGCAAGTGTTTTTTTTTTCTTCTTTTTTTGGGGGGTCACACCTGGCGATGCACAGGGGTTCCTCCTGACTCTGCACTCAGGAATCACTCCTGGCGGTGCTTGGGGGACCCTATGGGATGCTGGGAATCAAACCCGGGTCAGCCGCGTGCCAGGCAAACGCCCTCCCCACATGCTAGTGCTCCAGCCCCCGGCTCCTTAATCGTTAACAGCTGCTGATCTCCCCTTGGCTTCTCAAAGCACCCCAAGCCACAGACAGGAGCAGCAGTACATCGTGTGCCTCCTTAGACTTCTTTTGCTTGTTTGGTGGTTGCGGGGAAATGAACCTGGTTCCTCCTCAGGAAAAGCGCTGCTCCGGCCCAGGCCAGCTGCACGCAAGGCAAGTGACGTCCCGCTCCGGCCCGCTGGGCGGTGTCTGCCGCCTAGAATGTCTTTCTGGCAAATGCGGCTTGAAACAAACAGGTCATGAAATCCTTGCGGTTTGGAGGTTCTTCCAACAAGTGTCCCTCGCTGGGGAGTTTCCGTTCATCACTGGGGTTTCTGCCTACTCTCTCGTGAAGATTTCCCGTCACCTCTTGCCGTAACCAAATTCTCACGGAAACCCACAAGGACGCTGCTTCTAGGACTCAGAACGTGCAAGGTAGTCTTTCTTCTAGGAATGTGCAGTGACCAAGCCTCAGGAGACCGGCAGAGAGCCTCATCGTGTTTCTAGGAACCCTAAGTGGCTGCACTTTTGTTTTTAAATTATTATTAGTGAAACACCATGAGGTACAGCTGTAGACTTACAAATTTTGTGCTTGGGTTTCAGTTATACAATGATCAAGTACCCATCCCTCCACCAGTGCCCATTTCCCACCACCACGGATCCCAGTATCCCTCCCACCCCCATCCCCCCATCCCACCCTGCCTCTGTGGCAGGGCATTCCCCTCTGTCTCTCTCTCCTTTTTGGGTGTTGTGGTTTGCAAAAGAGGCATTGAGTGGCAATCATGTTTGGTCCATAGTCTACTTTCAGCATGCTTCTCCCATCCTGGGAGAATCCTCCCAACACCCTTTGTTTGGTGCTCCTTTTTCTATCTGAGCTGCCTTTTCCCCTAGCGTGGGCTGCACTGTTCTTGGGCCTGTGGGCGCCTGCCCAAGTGAAGGCCAGTGAAAGGAGCTGGAACCCTAATGTCCCCCCTTGGGACATCAGGAATTTTTACACTTGGTCACTTTCTTCCCTGGAGGGACAGAGGCAGACTGGGTGGGAGGGCCACAGAACACACCTCCGGCTCGCGGGCACATTTCTTGGGTGCTGATCGTAAAACCCCAAGGGGGCAGCTGCCCACCAGCTCAGAGGCAGGGGAAGCCCATGAAGCTTCACGCCTTCCTCCGTCCCTTCTGGGGGCTTCTTGCCACTCTACTACCCTCTCCCCCGTTTTGTTTGGTCTGGGGCCACACCCAGGTGTGCTCAGGGCTTACTCCTGGCTCTGCACTCAGGGACCACTCTTGGCCGGGTTTGGGGGGCATATCGAGTGCTGGGGATCGAACCCAGGCCAGCTGCACGCAAGGAAGTGACGTCCCGCTGTACTGTCTCTCCAGCCCCCAGCCTTTCCCACAAACCCTTGGAAATGAAGCCCAGTTCTCTTCCCCTGGGGACAGTGCGTGTGTACGAGGGTGCCCGTCCTGGCGGGAGCCCAGCGGGTGAGCGCCCCCTGCTACGCTCTTCCCTGGCGCTCGGCTCTCCACCCACCACCTCCTACCTCATCGCCTCCACACGTTCCCCCGGCAACCCGCAGGCACAAACTGCTGCCTGTAGGCAGGAGGGAGCCCACTGCCGTGGGCAGGGCCTGCCCCACCCAGAGGACCCCGTCAGGCCCCCGTGGGAGCCCGGTTCTTGGGGAGCCCTGGGTGCTATCACAGATGCTTCTGGACAAAGGCTGGGAGTGGCGGGAGGCGGAACAGCCCCAGACCCGGCTCTGAGCCTCTCCCTCTGGGCTTGCTGGGAGAGAGGGGGGCACACCCCACCTTGGGGGCAGCCGTGTCCTCCCACTTTTTGAGGCTGTCACTGAGCGACTATGGGTCCTAGTGGTGGTTCTGTGCGTGAGCAGAGGGAACCAACTCCCCACCCCCCCCCCCCCCATGGGGACACCACACGCATTGGTGCTCCGGGGTCACTCCTGGTCTCACTCTTATGGGTCACTTCTGGTGGAGCTTAGGGCGCCATGTGCGGTGCCAGGTCAGCTTGGAAGGCCACTTGCGGTGCCAGATTGAACCCAGGTCAGCAGCGTGCCAGGCAAGCGCCCCCTGCGCTCTGTCCTAACCTCCAGGATGGGGCAGGAAGGGTTTTGGCAGAAAAGCGTCTTGGAGGGAAAAGGAGCATGTTTCTGGGAGTCACTGCTGGCTCCCCTGGCTGCTGCAGTCATCCCATGCGTGTCTTCCTCCCTTCACATCCATCCCCTCCTCCTCCTCTTCCTCCTCCTCCTCTTCCTCCTCCTCCTCTTCCTCCTCCTCCTCTTCCTCTTCCTCCTCCCCCTCCTCCTTTTCCTCCTCCTCCTCCCTTCCTCCTCCTCCTCCTCCTCCTGTTCCTCCTCCTCCTCCTCCTGTTCCTCCTCCCCTCCTCCTCCTGTTCCTCCTCTTCCCCTCTGCCTCCTCCTCCTGTTCCTCCTCCCCCTCCTCCTCCTCCCTCCTCCTCCTCCTCCTCTTCCTTTTCCTCTTCCTATTCCTCCTCCCCTCCTCCTCTTCCTCTTCCTCCTCCTCCCCTCCTCCTCCTCCTCCTCTTCCTCATCCTCCTCCTCCTCCTCCTCCTCCTCCCCTCCTCCTCCTCCTCCTCTTCTTCCTCCTCTTCCTCTGCTAAAGTCACTTCATTTTCCTCTGGTGGCCATTTTTCAGAGTGGGAGCATCAGGGGTGTGGGTAGCTGCAACTCAGAGCCCCTCCTGTGTTCAGAGGAGCAATTCCTGCTCCTCTGCCCTGTTGGAATTTGCTGGGGGCACACTGAGGTGGGCTGGGGGCGGCTCCCTGCCTCGCCCCTGGGAGCTCCCAGTGCGCCTGCCAGTTGGGAGGCATTCCGGCCCCTCGTGCTCATGGAGCATTCAAAGAGCAGGCAGGTGCCCAGGGTCACACCCCCAAGGGCGTGGGGTGCAGCAGCAGGCTTTGGGAAGTTGGGAGAGTGTGCTTTGGAGGCAGGGTGCTTCCATGAAGCAGGCGCTACTTCCAAGTGGGTGGCGGGAGGAATTGTCCGTGGAAGTCAGAGTTTAGGAAATAGAGGGTTTGTGCTCTCCCACAATTAATTAATTAATTATGGGTTTGCATTCTCCCAGAGCCCTCAGATTTGGGGCTTAGACTGGACTGTGGGTCTGAAGTCTCTCCTTGATTCCAGGCTGGGGTTTTATGTGGCCACTCTGATGTTGCAGGGCATCCAGTGGTCCCCGGGGGCCAACGAAGAAGGACCTCGGTGGATTTCTCAAGTGCAGTCCTCAAGTTCCCAATTTGGCCCCTCCCGGGAGCCCGGGGCAGGGATTACCTGGTCCCTCTGCAAAGTGGAGCGTGTAGACGAAGCTGCCAGCAGGTTGCTGGGCAGCCCGGCGGTACCACAGGGGGAAGTGGTCCATGGTGAAGACGTTGGCTTCATCTTCAAGTGTCAGGAACTTCCTGCGAGGAGAAAGGTCTGGTACCAGCCTCCCTGCTAAAACAGGGCGCAGCGTCACCCCTAAGTCGGCGAGGCCTTACTGCCCTGACACAGCTTCAGGCAGAGACAGAACATCGGCCCCTTACCTGGGATTTATTGCCCCAGACAATGGTCCCTAACAATTCTGCCCTTTCCGGAACCCAATACTACCTCACCCTGCGAACACCAGAAGCTGGAAGAGTGTCGGGCCTGGGGGTGGGGGGGTAAGAAAGATACTCCTGCTCCTAGTATGACCTGAAGGCTCCGTTTCTGCTGCCTCATGGGCACGTCTGAGCCAGAAATCAGTCTATCCACCGCTAACGGGGGACAGACGCTTCTTTCTGAAGAGCCACTCCAAGTCACTGCCTCTGGGTGTAGAATGCAGTGGGGTTTTTTTTTCTATTTTCTTTCTGAACAGCTCTGCCTTGCTAATTATGGGCTTGCATTCCCCCAGACACCCGCAGACAGGCAGAGGAAGGGTTGGCCCAGAGCGGGGAGGCAGTGAGAGAACTGGGGCAGGCTGGGGCAGGAGGCCACAGATTTGGGGTTCTTGGTTCATGTTTCTAGACCCTCAGCCTGGTCGCACAATTCCTGAGCTGCCTGTAGGGTCTTGGGGCACGGAGCTCTGTGGGTGAGAGTCTGCCTCATCCTCTCTCCTCTCCTGGGTGCTCTTTGGGGCAGCTGTGTCTTACCCCCGGAGTCTGTCCACACTGAGACCGCCCTTTCCTGCGGTTAGGAGTCTTTTGAAATGGGGGCGGCAAAGACTATGAATGTTTTTACCTGGGGCTGGAGCCATAGCACAGCGGGGAGGGCGTTTGCCTTGCACGCGGCCCACCTAGGTTCAATTCCCAGCCTCCCGTAGGGTCCCCTGAGCACCACCAGGAGTGATTCTGGAGTGCCGAGCCAGGAGGAACCCCTGTGCATGGCTGGGTGTGACCCCCAAAAAAAGCCAAAAAAATGTTTTCACCTCTTTCTATCCCAACACTGTGTCCGCCTCAGCATCTGAAGCACACTCCGGTGGCTGAGGGAGCGGAGGAAGAAGTACGGGGAGGGTGTGGAGTGGAGTGTGGGGGGAGCACAGGGTTCCGGCCGTACGGTAGATCCATGGTTCCCAGGCAGGCCCGGGTCTGGCCCTTGGGGATCTTGGCTGTAACTCTGACCGGGCCCTGGCAGGGGGAGGGGGCAGCATTTCCTCTGCCCCCCCTCCCAGGCTGGGGAACTTGCCTCCCAGAGAGCGGCTGCTCCAGCCAGCGTGGCCCAGAGGGAGGCGGAGACGGGCTGGGATCGACCTGGGAGCAGCAGGAAGAGCAGGAACCTGGCATGGAGGGCCAAGTCTGCTCGGGGACCCCCAGCTGTTCTCTTGGTGCCGGGGTCCCAGCTGCTGAACCTGTGTGAGTCTGCGGAGGGTGACTCTGTGGGGTCAGAGCATAGCACAGCGGCTAAGGCACTCACCTTGCGCAGGGCCCACTGGAGTTTGCGCCTCGGCCTCCTCGGCGTCTTTTGTGGGCAGCTGCCTCTCCTTCCCGGTGAAGCTCAGCAGGGAGGAGCCCCAGGAAGTGCTCCCTGAACCTCACAGGACTCGGCTCAGGGCAGCTTACTCTGTCTACACACTTGGCCCAGACCACCCTGGCTTCGACCTGCTGGACCTCAGAAGCACGCTCCCTTGCCCTTGTTGGAACCATCAAGAGAAGTCTCGGGACGCCCCCATATGATCTTGGTGGGGGGGTGTCTAGCTAACTTAATTTTTTCCCCTTAGTTTTGGGACCATACCCAGTGGTACTCAGGGATCACTCCTGGTGGGTCTGGGGGACCATGAGTGCCAGGGATCAAAGCTGGGTCAGCGGTGGGCAAGGCACTGTTCATGACCCCCGCCCTCTCTGCCTGTGTCTCCTCCACCCCCGATACTTCCTTTTAAAGGAATGTTGGCTGAAGGTCTGGGGGAGGGTCTGGAGCACCTGCTGGTGCTAAGGCAGTTACAGGAAGCACTAAAACAGCACTGTAGCACTGTCCTCCCGTTTTTCATCGATTTGTTCAAGGGGGCCCAGTAATGCCTCCATTGTGAGATTTGTTGTTACTGTGTTTGGCATATCAAAGATGCCACGGGGAGCTTGCCAGGCTCTGCCATGTGGGCGGGATACTCTCGGTAGCTTGCCAGGCTCTCCGAGAGGGGCGGAGGAATTGAATGCCCCACCCGCTGTGCTCCAGCCCAGTAAAATTAAACTGGAAATAATAACAGAGTGGGATCTGGGGGGTGGCACTGGGCTGGAAGAGACTGGGAAGGATCAAGGGCATCTCAGTGGTAGGGGGGAAGTAATTTTGTAAACCAATATCAAAAATTTCAATTCTATTGTAGCCTTATTATCTAGAATATCACTGTCACTGTCCTGTTGTTCATCGATTTGCTCGAGCGGGCCCAGTAACATCTTCATTGTGAGACTTACTGTGACTGTGTTTGGCATATCGAATACGTCATGGGTAGCTTGCTAGGCTTTGCCGTGCAGACGAGATACTCTCAGTAGCTTGCCGGGCTCTCCGAGAGGGGAGGAGGAAACTGTATGTGTCAGGTGTCAAACCCAGGTTGACTACATGCAAGACAAGCACTTTAACTGCTGTACTATGGCTCTGTCGCCTAAATATTCTTTTTTTTTTGTCTCCTAAATATTCTCAAAACTTTTTTTTGATTTGTTTGTTTTGGGGCAACACCCACCAATGCTCAGGGGTAACTCCTGGCTTTGCACTCAGGAATCACTCCTGGCAGTGCTTGGGAGACCATCTGGGATGTTGGGGATCAAACCCAAGTTGGCCATGTGCCAATGCAAGTGCCTGACCCGCTGCCTCCGAAAGTTCTTTTTCATGAAATAAAATAAAATAAAATAAAATCAGCAAAATTGGAGCTGGGGAAAAAACGTATTTTGAATTTAAAACATTGCTAGCTAAGAGGATGGTGCAAATGTTGACAAAGGCTGATTTAGCTTCTGTCACTGGAGACAGATCTAGAATGGGGCCGGTTTCTGTGTGTCTGATGGAAGTGAGTCTTGGATGGCCCCCGCCCCCCCCCCCCCCCCCCCCCCCCGCTTCAAGGTCATGATCACTCTCTTTCCGCCCTGGGCCAACCTCTCCCTTCCCAGGTTATCTTCAGGATGAGGCTAGACTCAAGCAGGCCTATTTTCATTTTATTGTTTTTATTTTTATTTATTTTTGCTTTTTGGGTCACACCCGGTGATGCTCAGGGGTTACTCCTGGCTCTGCACTCAGAAATTACTCCTGGCGGTGCTTGGGGGACCATATGGGATGCTGGGAATTGAACCCAGGCAGGTCGGCCGCATTCAAGGCAAATGTCCTACCTACTGTGCTATTGCTCCAGCCCCAAGCAGGCCTATTTTTAAACTATTTTAAATTTGGGAGCCATAACTCGGGGTGCTTGGGGAACCACATGGTGCTGGGGATTGAATCTGGGTTTCCTCATGCGAAGAATGTTCCGTTTATGACTCTCCGGATCTGTCATCCACCCATTCCGCCCTCCTGGGGTCAAGGTCTCTGCCATCCCAGCGCACCCAAGGGACAGCTGTTCTTACCCCCCGTGAATACTCACATGCCTGAGACCTTCTCCGAGCCTACGAACAAGCTCCTTCTCAGGAGGCCGGCCCTGGTGCCGAGGAAGGCCATGGACACCCTCTGCTGGGACTCACTGCAAGGCAAATCGAGCCCAGTCACAGCCAGGAGCCCACGGCGGGGAGCACACGGATGAGCTCAGGGCTTCTGCGCTTTGCAAGTCCCCTCGGACAGTATCTGGGGCGCTGCACATGCTCACAGCCACCCGCTCCAACCATTCTCGCGGGCATCGGCTTGCTCTAGCATCTCCAGGTCGCCCCTCCGCTGAAAGCACGTTTCACATATTGGCCTTGTCACTGAAGTGTGGCGGGCGCAGCCCCAGGGACTGCCCCAGAGAATCCTTGCAGACTGCAAACGTCACCGGCGAGATTTGGAAAAAGGCTCTGGGCTTGCCAGAAGCCAACTTTTCTGGGTAACCTTGGCTCACAGCATCAAAGCATCAAAGCCATATATGATATATATATATATATATATATATATATATATCTTTTTGGATCACACCCAGCTATGCACAGGGGTTCCTCCTGGCTCTGCACTCAGGAATTACTCCTGGTGGTGCTTGGGGGACCATATGGGATGCTGGGAATCGAACCCGGGCTGGTTGCGTGCAAGGCAAATGCCCTACTCGCTGTGCTATTGCTCCAGCCTCCAAAGCCATATTTTTGTGACCATGGTGCCAGGATGAGGCTTATTGAAATTTCTAAACAGCTCAGCTTTATTGTGGTCTTATTTACATAAAATATGAGATTCACATAAAAGTGAAGATTGTTGATGATTTAATATAAGCAGACTCCTGCGAGGGTTGCCTCTTCTGGCTAATGAGCACTTTCACTACCTCACATCTTTCTTTCTTTCTTTCTTTCTTTCTTTCTTTCTTTCTTTCTTTCTTTCTTTCTTTCCTTCCTTCCTTCCTTCCTTCCTTCTCCTCCTCCTCCTCCTCTTCCTCCTCCTCCTCCTCCTCCTCTTCCTCCTCCTCCTCCTCCTCTTCCTCCTCCTCCTCCTTCTTTTTTGCAAAGAACTTAAGTTCTCCTTTCTTAGCTAATTCCTAAGACACCCCAAGGGTTAATTTTAGTCTCATGATAGACACCAGGTCTCAGACTTTACTTATCTCAGATGGGACGCATACAAACCCTGGCAAACAACTCTCTACTCTGTTCCTAGGAGTTGACCTTTGTGTTTCTAATTTAGATTGCACATATAAATGATACTACACGCGATTTGTCCTTTTCTGTTTGGTTTCTGCATAAAGTCCTTAAGGTTCTCCTGTGTTGCTGAAAATGACAGATTTTCTTCATTCTCAAGGATAAGTAATATTTCATTATATATATGTATGTGTGTAGGGAGAGAGAGAGGAAGTATGTTCCCTTTATCATTCCACGGACAACAGACAGGCTTCTTTCCTATGTTGGCGTTTGTGAACAGTCTATCAACAACTCTGGGAGAGTAATTATCTCTCTGATAAGGTAAAAGGTAAAGGCCCTCCCGTTGATCGTCGATTTGCTCGAGCGGGCCCAGTAACGTCTCCATTGGAGACTTTGTTGTTACTGTGTCTGGCATATCGAATACTCTCGGTAGCTTGCCGGGCTCTCCGAGAGGGGCGGAGGAATCGAACTCGGGTCGGCCATGTTGGCCGCTTGTAAGGCGAACGCCCTACCCGCTGTGCTATCGCTCCAGCCCCGGCAAGCTACCAAGAGTATCTCTCTGATATTCTGTTTTAATTTTCTTTCGCTCTATCCCCAGCAGAAAGTTACTGGATCCTATATTGTATATCCATTTATAGATTAGTTCAACAACCTCCATGCTGTTTTCCATAATGGAGAGTCATTTACGTTGGCTTTGTGCCATGTTTACCAACCCTTGTTGGCTTTCGTGGTTTTGGCTCTAGCTCTTTTAACAGGTGTTTTGTGTACTTGCCAGTTTCTATATTTATTCTTTGGGGGAAATGTCCACTCAATTTTCCTGCCTTTTAAATTTAAATTGGATTGGCTGTTTTTGCGATACTGAATTGTGGAAGTCCTTTATATTATTTGGACACTAAGCCTTATGGTAGAAATGAATAGCACATATTTTTCCCTAGTTTGATTTTTCGTTTTGTTGATGTTTTTCCTTTGTTGTGACTCCAGCCTTTTCGTTTTGTGTAGTCCCTCTACTGTTTTGGTTTTGCTTCTGGTGCTTTCCTCTTCATGTAAAACTCAAAATATCACCATCAAGACTGAGCTAAAGAAGTTTATATTCCATATTATCTACTGTATCTACTGTGCTTTTCTAATTTTATGACTTCAGGTCTCACAGTCAGGTTTTTAACCGATTTTGAGTTGATTTTTTGGAGTGTGGTGCCCCACCCAATGGTGCTCAAGGCTATCACTGTGTTCTCGGGGATCACTCTCGGCTGACTGGGGGTACCATATGAAGTTCCTGGGATTGAGCCTGGATCCCGGCCTGCAAGGCGAGTGCCCTACCTGCTGTACTGTCTCTCCGTTGCAAGGCGAGTGTCTTGCCTGCTGTGCTATCGCTCCAGCTCCCATTTGAATTGACTTTGTGTGTGGCGTGAATCCAGTTTTATATTTTGGCCTATAGTTGCCCAGTCTTCCTAATATTATATATGTAATTTCCCCACTACATATTCTTGTCTCCTTTGTCAAAAAGTAGGTATTTCTGGACTTTTTCTATAGATCTATGCATTTGCTTTTATGTCGACATCAAGCTATTCATGTTACTGAAACTTTTTAGTGTGATAATTTTAGCCTTGTTCTTGCTCAAGATTGCCTTGGCTTTCCGGTCTTATGTGGTTCTGTTTAAATTTCAGATTTTTTTCTGTTTCTATGAGGGGAAAATATAGATAGTATTATATAGGATCTGTAAATCACTTGGACCGTAGAGATAGTGCAAAGGGTAGGTTTTTGGCCATGCCTGGTTGGATTCCCAGAATTTCCAGGAGAAATTCCTGGGCATTACTGTTTGGCCCAAAACCAGAGCGAGAGCAAGAGTGAGAATGAGAGCGAGAGAGAGAGAGAGAGAGAGAGAAAGAGAGAGAGAGAGAGAAAGAGAGAGAATCTGTAAATCACTTTCGATGCTATGGATGGTTTAATTTTTATTCTTTTTTTGCATTGCATTAAATCTTATTTTATATTTAAATCTTATTTTTATAATAATTGTGGCTTATTCATCTTCAATAAAACTTTTAAAGAAATTCTGTGCTATATTATGGAGTTAACATGAAGTAGGTAAGGCCTACTTATGTGAATTTTTTACCTACATTTTATATAAACACTGTGGCTTGCAAAGTTGTTCATAATGATTACCTATAGTCCTTCAATATTCCAACACCAATCCCACTACCATTATCTTAAATCTTCCCTCCATCATTTCTCCATTTTTTCCCTGCCCCATAACAACCCCAAAATAATTTATTTTATATTATTTGTTATCAATAAATTGCTAACAGAATGATCAAAAAGCATTTTCTTAGAAGAAACTTTGTGGAAATTGTTGCACATCACCATGGAGAGATTAAGTCCTTGAATGTGGGATTGCTAAAATGTTGTTACAGGTTAAGCCTTCTGTGTTGCTGCTTGGTTAGTCAGGATTGGCTTTCTCTGTGTTGCATCTCATCCAACCTGGAGTGCTACTACTGCATTTTCACTGTTGGAGCAATAGCACAGCGGGTAGGGCGTCTGCCTTACAAGCGGCCAACATGGCCGACCCGAGTTCGATTCCTCCGCCCCTCTCGGAGAGCCAGGCAAGCTACCGAGAGTATTCGATATGCCAGACACAGTAACAACAAAGTCTCCAGTGGAGACGTTACTGGGCCCGCTCGAGCAAATCGACGATCAACGGGAGGGCCTTTACCTTTACCATAGTCTGGGGAGGTTGTGTGGCCGCAAAGACAGCCACATGCTTCAGGAACTCCAGAATTTTTAACTGGGTGGTATAGCTGGAATTAAATTTTTAACTGGGCAACTTTGGGGTGTGGATGTGACTGCCAGGGCTTCTGGAAGTACAGGGAGGTGGTGGGAGGATTTTTAGCGGATTATTCATAGCAAACAATACAAAATAAATTATTTAGGTTCTGCTTTTGGGGCAGGTTTTGGGGTTTGGGGTAGAAATACTCGAAATATGGTAGTGGGAAGGTGTAATGGTGGTGGGATGGATGGGTGTTCAAATACTAAATGTAGTAAATTACTGTGAACCGTTTTATAAAAATAAAAAAAATTCAGGTTTGAGAATTTTTTGTGGTGTGTTCTTTGTTAAGTGACAAAAATTCATCAGATTTAGTGGTTCACCAGAAGCTGCAAAGAAGGGCTGTTTTTTCCTTATTTTTAACCTGAAGCACAAGTATGAAAGATACAAGTATTTGATTATTCTCATCAATGTTTGATTTTTCTAATTACTAATTTATACAGAGTAGGCAGGATAAATGGAGTTTTGGGGTTTAGTTACTAATTCTTAAAATAATGAGATAATTTCCTAACATTTTTAAAAAGATAAGCAAGGAGGTTTTTGTTTAGTTTCATTTTCTTTGTTTTCTTTCAGTGTCATGAATGCTGGGTTTTTAACATCTTCATTGTGGTCATGACTTGTGCCAGTTAAAGCCTCTTCAAGCTGTTTTTGGGATTTTGTTGGTACAATCTAATTACCCGTCAATCCTTTCTAAGGTTGCATTATACAGAGAACTGAAGGCACGTTTACACCCCCCCCCCTCCACCATCCCTTAATCCAACCACCATGATCCAGAGGGAGAAATCAGACGTTTCTCCAAGGATTCCCAGCTCAGAATAGAGAAGGGATCACAAAGAAAATGACGGCTGGCGGAATCGGTCGGGATGGGAGATGTGTGCAGAAAGTAGATAAAGGACCAAACATGATAACCTCTCAGTGTCTGTATTGCAAACCATAATGCCCAAACGTAGAGAGAGAGTATGGGGAATAATGTCTGCCATGGAGGCAGAGGGAGGGTGGGAAAGGGGGGTATATACCGGGAATATTGGTGGTGGGGAATGTGCACTGGTGGAGGGATGGGTGTGTGATTGTAATCCAAACGTGAAAGTTTGTAACTATCTCACGGTGATTCAATAA